CCCTAGTCATTCGTTCCGGTTTTGAGTGATGAGTCCTGCAACACCGTAACAAATTCGATCGGAACTGACTTGCTCTGTGCGTGGGGGAAAGAACTCAAATGTATAGAATGGTGTAAAGGTGTCTAAATTTTCAATTTTGTCGGAAAGCTTCATGATGGTCGTAGGATGCAAGTTGGACAGGGTTCTATGCCTCTTGCCACCCATTCACTCTTGAGTGTAATTCGACTTTATTCCTCCATGGCATTAAAAAAGCCCGTCATAGCCGTCATTGGGACTACTGGTGTAGGAAAATCGCGCTTGGGTATAGATATCGCGCGTCATTGCAATGGCGAAGTAATCAATGCAGATGCAATGCAAGTTTATCGTGGGTTAGATGTAATAACCAACAAAGTCACAGAAGAAGAAATGAAGGGAGTTCCACATCATCTTATGGGTTACCTGGATCCGAGCCAGGAGACTTTCGTTGCCGAATGGATCAACTTGGCGTCTACAACGGTTTGTATGAACATTTGTATTCGACACCTTAATCAATCACTCATAGTCTCCAGATAGATGAAATACATAGTCGGCAACGAGTGCCTGTCATAGTTGGTGGAACGTCGTATTGGCTGCAAAATCTACTTTTTCCAAACCGGATCATAAGCGACAACACTTCGTCAAGTTCGATGCTTGTACGGTCGGAACCAACTCTTGCTTTACAGAGAGATATAGACGCCCTAGGTGTAGAACAGAAAGGTCTTTTCAATAACCTTCCAGACAGACCACCGACAGCATCCGACAATGCCGAAGAAACACTCAACCTATGGAGGCTCCTAGATGCGCTAGATCCAGATATGGCTGCTCGATGGCATTGGAAGGACTCGCGAAAAGTACTGAGGAATCTCGAAATCATCGCAGAGAAGGGTAGGAGAGCGAGTGAAATCATCAAGGATCAAGATGATACCGAGCTTGAGTCCAAGTGGGATTTCATTATGTTTCGGTCAATTGATGAACGCTAACAT